AACAGCAGTCGTCCTCTGCTGTGAACAAAGGCAATGAAACTCCCTCCCAAGAAACCCACCAAAATGCTCAGTTGAAAGTCACACAACAGCCCAGAACTTAGAATAAAGACAACAATATACGGTTTTCAATACTTTATTTTCTACACTCTTAAAATACATAGCAAATACAGGTAACAAGCTCACACTGAACTTGAAGGGCTTTTTAAAAACACAACAAACATGGTAATTCAAGAAGAAATAAGAGAAGACTCCTATCAGACAACACCTTATGAAGAAAATAAGGCACATATTTCCCCATTCCTTGTGTGCATTTGTTCTTGAAAATAAGCTCAAATATCAAGTCTCTATACAGCTTTGTGTGTTTAAAAATAAAAGTAGCAGTTTGCATGAAATGGTTTTTGGAGATAGTAAAAAAACCATCTTGGGCCTGGTTTTATACATTTAATTTTTCGGGTGTGAGCTGTGTCATTTTTTTTTCTGTAGACACAATATTGTTGTAGTCAGTTCTTTTGGGTTGTTAGTGTCTTATCAACTGACAGTTTATCAATTTCTTCCACAAGTGATTCTGATTAGGAGTAACACATGGAATGCCAGTCCTTGTGCAAAATGTGACATTTCTCCATGTTAAGTCATTCATCCTGAGCAGAAGATACTGCAGCAAGCCCAGAGATTGATGACCCAAGCTATAAGGCATAACATTTTCTATCATGTATATAGTTCAAAGTCACTGCCATGGATGATATTGATGGGGCTGTTGAAAAAAGCTTCATTTGCCCAGGTGCATCGTGGGACTTGTTGAACCTGGTAATCCTCATGCAAGTTGACATTTGATCCTGTCTAACATAGCCCACTGCTAGCATGTCTATTCCCTCAGTTGTATAACAGGCACAGTGTGAAGGCACAGGCAGGTGATGAGCAGTAGGGGGAGGAAGAAGTTGCTGGTTTGTTACCATGGAAATGTTTTATGATCCCTGCTCAGTAAACCAGAATTCTCCTGTTGCACCTGTTACAGAAGAACTGAACGCATTTAGAGGCAGGCATCACAGCATCAAATTTAAAGGGTTAGTTCACCTTTTCAGAAAAATTGAAAAGGTGAACAAACACCCTACACCTTTTCCTCCAGTCCTTATTGTTCCTCAAGGCCTGAGCTGTCAATGTCCATGTAGCCAGTATGGTCCAGGGATTTGAAGTCCTTGCCCCTCTTCTTTCTGCAGGACTCGCGGGACAGACCAGAGCAATTCCTATTAGTCAAATAGGTCACGTGCCAGCTCTGACAAATCAGAATCGATCTGACCATCCAGGAACCCCCACAGAAAGAAGAAAAGAAGAGCGTGGATTTCAAATCCCAAGACTGCAATACTGGCTGATCGGGCACTTACAGCTCATCACTAATGGAGGTAAGAACAGTGGAGACCAGGAGGGGTAGGGAAGGTGTAGGGTATTAGTTCACTTTTCATTTTTTTTCTGGACTAAACTAACCCTTCAAGACATTACAGTTACAAAGCAGAAGCTACTATTTCCCTTACCCCAGCTCTTTAATTTTTAACAACAGGAGGCCCCATCTTAGACCTTCATTGGACCTAACATTCAGCAGACTTTACTAAATAGCACTGTGTCTGCTGTTTTTCCATTAGGGGAATATTGCATTGCAGGTTTATTAGGAGTCATAAAATATGTCACACATATAAAAAGGCATGCTGCTTGGCCATGTGCTAAAACAGCACAAACATTCAGCCAAAAGCTGCTAGTGGTGAAAAATAAATAAAATAAAAAAGGATATTTCTAAAATAATAAGTATTTTATTTCAAATACAGCATATTGGCACGTGATGTGTTATAAAGTGAAACACCTAGAAACAAAAAATGCTGCATTCGCTCAAAATGTTAAAAACATCTTAAATATTGTTCTAAAAGCCTTTAAACAGGCCACAAGAAAACAAAAACACTGCAATAATATAATGACATACTAACATAACAAAATCTATCTTAGAACATTGAAATAAAATGGTTTTACCTCTGCAAATGGCAAAAACATATATCTGAAATAAAACTATAAAGAAATACATATGTACACAAACTACGTCTATTTCTTATGGAAGGAATGGGACAACCCAACTTGCTCAGCAGTCTGTGGTTGATCTCACTCTATTCTAAGACAAAACGTAAAAGCCACCAACACCCATAGTATTTCATTAAAGAAGCGTGATATAAAAATGAGTAAGTAATGCAGTTTCAGAGCTCTTGGAGCATAGCTATTTACAGCACAGCAGTAGCAAATCACTAAAACACTCAAAGCTCTTACAGAGTAGGACAGGAGTCTCCAAACTATGGCCCACGGGGTACATCTGGCCTGCTACAAGATTTTATCTGGCAGCTAGGGTCAGCGGCATATTCACAATATGCACTGATTGAGGATGATGGTCAGCAGAGGCTGGCTGTGGTCTCCACTTCTGATGTAAGGGGGGGGGGGGGGGGAGGGAATCTGATGAGGACCCTGACGTGCGTGTGTGTGTGTGTGTGTGGGGGGGGGGGGGGGCTCTTGATGCAATGGGGACTCTCATGTAATGAGGACTCTAATAGGGAGTTTTTTCAGCCCACAAATATTTGTAAAATATACTGTGGACCTTGTACTGAAAAGTTTGGAAACCCCTGGACCAGGAGAACCAGTATCACAACTGGATGTGACTGTTGTATAGCAAAGAGGGCTGGATAGATAGCTAAGGATCTGAGCAACCCCTGAGTATTGTACTAAAGTCACTGAACCTATAGTTAATTTATTTATAATAATTATTTTTAAGCAGTGAAGTAGTATGTTATTCCCAAGTCTACTGAGAACTCAGGTTTATTCAAGTCCCAGTGAGGAAAGCACTAGAAAAGCCATAGTAGCCGGTCAAATGTCACCTTCTTGTAGTCATCTTGTTTGCCCGTTTTTACTATTTTTCAAAATTTTCAGCATGCAGGGCTTTAAGTGAGTAATAGGTTTATATAAAAGTTGGCACAAAAACTACTTACTGTTGCTCCAATACCCAATTTCAACTTCCGGGGATAGAAGCAACACCTGGAATTTGACCACCTGCTATTAACAATACAGACTCTTTTCTTTTAATACATTTGCCCTAACAGAACACTTTTATACATCTACCCAGTGTGTCTACTTGTCAGTCAGTTTGGGTTGTCTCCCTCATTTGTTTCAGTGTTTTTACAAAACAAAATACATAGGTAATAAATACAATTCCTATAAAGCATCATATTAAGATTGGCTCCATCTGTTGGATAAACTCATCTGCGAATCCCGCAGGAATTAGTAATCTCCAGTACTTCAGCCTAGGCCAATATACAGCTAATATTCTACCAAGCTAGGATTGAAAAGGTGGTATTAATGTATTAAGGTTCCTCCATGAGGCTAGGGCCCAGTTTAGCCCTTCAGGTTTGTTTACACTTGCATTAGCCTTCTGAAGAGCAATCTATAGTAAATTGATTTTCAGAGGGCATTTGATAGATGGTGATCAAGTGTTGGGCATAGTAAAAACTGCCTGTTTTTACCGCCAACCCCCTCTCTCCTTACCCCACTACACTAGGCCTTCTACAAGGAATGCATTTGATAAATGTCAATAATGCCCATTATATTATAAAAATCACATAACAAATAGGTGTGTCTAATATATAGATTTTATGTTAGTACTCAAAAATGCGTGCTGTATAATATATATATATATAACATATTCTATCATTATAATACATAGATATGTCATAATGATATGCATATATCATTATACAGGTTCTGCAGAATTTGAATTGTGTTAATTCAGAATCTAGCTATAGATGGCCATAGATATCAGATGGTACTTGGATCTAACAAATGTATCCAACCACCAGAAGACATACAAACATGGATACTTATATCCTACAGGGGCCTTACCTCAGGGGAAGAAAATATATCAGCCAAACATTTCATCTCGGCCAATAGACATTCACCCTCTCCACCAAGATATGTCAGCCAGAAGTATCTACTTAGGTCTGGGGCCTACCACAACCTCCCAGAGTATAGACCTACTACTGCATTATGCTGTAGCCTAGAAATGCTCTACTCATGTGTCAATGAATCAAATAGGATATTACAATGATATTCATATTGTTTCTATACCATTTTGTTTTTGTCCCCCAAAAATGGAAAATTGATATCCCACAATATCAAACTGCTGCTCGGACACTCCTATCTAACATACACACAAGACTACGACTACTTCCTCTGACAGCACAGAATACTTTTGGTTGAAGTTGCTGAAGTTCAGAGTAATACAGCCAAGTATTGACAGAGAACCAACCTTCTTATCCTCTATGAATAATTCTGTTAATATTCCACAGAGGACCAATAGCCTTCACCTTGCTCAGTTGCTAAATGTTTTCCATTGATATAGTGAACAATATACAGTATGATTTATAGGTCATGACAGAAACTTTATATTCCTAGTTATCCCCAAGATGTTCCAGTACAGCTTTATAAATAAAGTACCTTTCTAAAATCTCTCTTTATATATTTCTTTTAAATATGGAATATTTACTCTTTATGCTATAGCTGCTCTTGTACTTTTACATACCTATACATTTCAGTTACATTATTATCAAATGTACTACATGACATATATATATATAGATAAATCTCTAGTGCAGAATGTTCTAAATATATATATATAATATATATTTATAAAAACAAATAAAATAAAAACACACCTTCATACCAATAATGTTGCCTATGCATATATTGTTAAAAACCTAAGCAACCAAACCATATAATATAAATCTACATGGTTAAAGCATAAAAATGCAGAAATGTATAAACAAACCTATGCATCCATCTCAACTGCCTTTTTGAAAAAAAAAAAAAAAAAAAGAATTCACATATATAAAATATTCTTCTAAGAATATATCTGTAGGTTCTTTCTTCATAAATATGTAAAAGTTCCTTCAGTAGCCCTTCCCACTCCTCTAGAGATTGCAGTCTTAGTAAGTCTGGTAGATATCATGCAATGGGACCTGGATGGCTGCAGCAGGAAAGGCTTGAGGTATATAGCTAGCATATCCTCCGTACATTGCTGCTGCAGCAGCTGCGTTCTTTTGTAATGTGGCTAATGTGGCTGTGGCAGGAGCAGCGATGGGCAAGTAGCTTGCACCGTAAATCCCAGCAGCAGGAATCCTTTGCACATTGGGAGCCATGGTATAGACTGGAGTTATTGGGCGACCCTGAAAGACAGATTGGATAATTAAGGAATAAAAAGAAACAGCTTAGTTTATACTGTCTTTAAAAAAGATAGAATGGAAACCTTATGTGATTAAACATGACTGAACTACAACTATCAACAACTCCACTAATATTCTCAAGGTAAAACTTAGTGATAACTAAAATGCTGTACATACTAGGCATATCTAATTACTATGCCCTCCAGCCTACACATAGGCAAAGCATACAAATTTTAGGCAGGTAATATCCTCAGTGGAAAACTAGCCCACAACTCCAGCTTTAAAAAGCAACATTGCTAAACCCTGAGACAACATCTGAGAAATTTAACGGAGATGTTCACAATATCTTCCATAATTTTTTTTTACTGACAATCATCATCAACACTGTTCCAAGTTATAAAATAAATTACCAAGCAATGCAAATACAAAAAAATGAAAAAGTATTTGCTCCCTTCCTGATTTTTTTTTTTTGCATATTTGTCACACTTAAATGATACAGATCATCATGCGGCTGACTTAAAACAATTCCACAAAGAAGAGTGGGCCAAAATTCCTCTACAGTGATGGAAAAGACCCATTGCCAGTTATCACAAACACTTGATTGAAGTTGTGGCAGCCAAGGGTGGCACAACTAGTTATTAGATTTAGGGGGCAATTGCTTTTTCACAAAGGGTCAGGCAGGTTTGGACAGCCTTTTTCCCTTAATAAATGAAATCATCATTTAAAAACTGCATTTTGTATTTATTCAAGTTATCTTTGCGTAATATTAAAATTTGTTTGAGGATCTGAATAATTTAAGTGCGATAAATATGCAGAAAAAAAAATCAGGAAGGGGGCAAATATTTTTTCCACAGCCATGTAAATATGTTAATCAGATTCTAATTGTGACAAATGCACAATAATTTAAAACCTTGCAATACACATTTGTTGCATGCCTAAATGTTTACACTGCCTAATCAACATTCCCAAATGAAAAACATAAAAGCAGTAGAGTGTGCCTACCCACTTTATTGTTAAAATCAGTAGTTGCACTCATATGGAGCTGAAGGGGTAAATGGCATATCAATGGACCTGCTGACTACCAGTCCCATTGATAGGTAGATACACTAGTCAAAATATGGGGATTTGATCCATCTACTGTTGTCAGGGCTCTAGGTATGACCAGAGGTGTGTGGACTGACACAGGGAAACGCAGGCTTCAGATATGGTATAAACAATATAATTTATTAAGACTAACAATACAAACAATACAAAGAGTAGTCAGACAGGCCAGGTCAGTAGCAAACGGGCAAACGGAGTACCAGGAACAGGCGGGAGAGTGATCGGGGTCACAAGCTGGGTTCAGTAACTCACGGGCAGCGCCGTACAGCCAGGGATCAAGCAGGAGAAGTCAGCAGAGGTCAGGATCAGGCAGGGTCGGCAACAAGTCAGACAGGAACAGGAATACAGGATATAAGGTACAGGGGGCCCATGGAAAAAACACACACACCAAGGCCCTGACTGTGAGTCTGGCCATTCCTTAAATACAACCCCTGCAATCAGCTTCAGGTGTTTGGCTGATTGCAGGGGTGAGTCTCTGATTGCTCAGAGCACCCGCTGGCCATCCCTGGTACTGCAGCCCACAAGGCAGGTGAGTCCCACCATTATTGGCAAGTCCATTCCTGACAACTGTAGACTGTCAGTAAGATAGCTGAGGATTTCTACAGTAACAAGTACCACTGGCCATACTATCTAATGCTCCCTTGGACTTTCAGTCAGCAGGGCTGTTGGTAACTTCAAAAAAGGGGATCTGTTTTTTTACTGTGTTATCTATGTGGACCTAATGTGCAGATTTTTTTCTGTTCCTCTTCTGTTCCACCTTCACAAGCTAAAGAGTCCATATGTACAAAGGGACTCCATGCTGACAGTCTACTCCTAAGTTCCCAGCTCTGCTCACTTTTTTCTTATGACATCTCCATTTAGTTACATTACAGAGAAGCATTAGCTAGTAGAATTCCCAACTTGGCTTTAAAATGATACAGCCTGGAACTCCAGTGCAGAAATTTCACTTTTCTACCAGCATCTGTTTTTCCATGATGATATTCTGTGTTTGTCTAGCTTTTGAGTCTGATGCCCATGTACACTAACCCTAAGCTTGGGAAAAACATAAGAAGCCAAATAATGGTTCAGGCCATCAGCAACCACCTACAATAAAACTTGAATTTTTGATAAATTTGTAATTTTAAGCCTCACAATAGATGGCTACTATCATCAAAGGAGCCACCTGTGAAAAGGTGCTTTATCATATGGCTTATTTGATAGTATCAGAATTGAACTGAGCCCTCAAAAAAGAATACTTAATTTTGCAGTGCACTGTAAATAAAAGAGTATCTCATTTTTTTGTTAAAAAGATAGTTTTCCCCATTTCTTTGATCATGTTTTCTTACTCTGTCCTATGCCCACTGTAAACTCTTTATATGAATTTCCTGCGCACATGTGCATCCTTCAGCAGCTGAATGTCAGTCTCATTGTAGGAATGTGCCAGTACACAGTGGGCTGCATGCATGCCACCTTGTACTCTAACTCAGGAGTATGAAAAAAGGGGACACAAATGGCGAATTTAGTAAGCATTGTCACTTGAAGAAAAGAAATGCTTTGGGGTCCACCTTGCTGCTAGGATCACTAAGTGTTACTTAATTGAAAGAAGGAAATCTTAAAAAAAATATATTTTTGCCATTAGAGAATACATGCAACAACATATTTACTTTATACATTTACATACACTTTAATAATAATTGCCTCACTTACCTGAAATGGTGGAGGAGTTGTCACTGAAGGAATAACAGCTGCTGCTGCCGCTGCTGCTGCTGCTGCTGCAGTGGCAGCACTCACTGGATCGGCCTGCACAGTGATGGGATTTATCATGTGTTCCATGCCATGGATTTTCCCATCTTCAATCAGCTTAGCAGCTGAGGCCTGAAACATGGAGTACGGAGTACTACCAATCGTGGGAATGGCAACTGAAAAACACAAAAATTGGTCAGCAACAACAGCCTTTTGTATAAACAACATGTAAGACTTCTTAACTGAACTTTTACCTACACCCAAGAGAAGTTATCAATTTACCAACTAAGAAATCGGCCCACGCAGCGATAGCCTTTACTGTGTGTAGACCACCATCACTATGAAAACATTGTACATCTCACACTTCTCTATACTGAGATAGCTTATTGTCACATTGTGTTAGTTGTAGCAGATGAAAAGGCATGAACAAGTGATTTGGGAAGTAATAATCAAATAAAAAACACAGCATGATTGATGAATCTCAGTTACAAAGATGACTATATATGCAGAATGTCAATGACACAATCTGGGCTGATTGAAGTAGCAGTTTGGCTGTATGTGTGTTGAAAGGTATGGGTTGGGAAGTCTACTTGTAGCATATACAACTTTTCAGACAGAACGTTTCTACACTTCAAAATAACTACAGCAAAATTGCCTCTTTCCTAAATGATAAGGAATACAGTGGACCTTATTAATAAAGTGTCTTAAATAAAAATGGCCTCTGCTGCCCAACCTTACTGATAAAAGTCTGATACTGTTAGTTAAAATCTAAAGTCTTTGAATATAATTGGAGGCTAATGGACAACAAAAAGATTTCTTATTTACAGTACTCTACATAATAAAGATCAATATGCTCACACGTCATAATTCTGCTATCAAGATTGTCTTTCAACCTTTGAAAACTTGCTGTGTGCTTATATTAGGGGCTATACATGGTGAGCCAAAAGTGTATATCTCTGGTGTTTAGTTGTCCTGTATTTACAATGTCCATGCATGTGTACTCTTCAGCTGACAAGTCATCACCTAAGAACTCATCAGCCACAAATATATATTTTTTTATTTATTATTTTTTTAGGGGGCATCTTCTGATCTACAAAACATTTTACAGAACAATGAATAAAGTTTTGTGAAATTTGCATTAAGATAAAATTGTCAACAATGCACTGGAGGGTCATTTATTAACATGGAGTAAGCATTATGAAGGAGCTATTACTCAGCTTTTATAAACCTCCCACCAGTATATTGCCTGATAGATTGTAGTCACCAGTTAGGGTTGAGTTTAGAATTTCAGACTAACCTGTACCGGGCTTAAGAGCAACTGGATTGACCGCTGGTAATTCCAAGTTGGGTACAAGTTCAAAGCCTTTTTCTTGCTGTTTACCCTTCCCTTCATGATATCTGCTATAAATGCCACGGCCGGCCGAATATCCCCCCAGGTACGTGCCCCTGGGACCGGGGGCTCTGTTGCCAGCTGCGCCTCGCCCTCTGCCTCTTATGCTGCCTGCTTGTAATATCAACACAATACAATCAGAAATCACAGAAGATCACCACTAAAGCCTTTATAAAGTACATAGTGGGAAATGAAATTGAACTTCCATTTTGGTAAATGACATACCAATCAGCACTGAAATTCAAACACCTCTATCTCTGACCTGACTTAAACATAACGTTTTCCTCCTTTTGTTGCTCATTTTTAGACCAGTTAGCTGCTGGCCATATTTTTTTTTATAATGGATTCACTAGAAGAAATAATACAGGTCACAAGAAATACTACAAAGAAATTCTAAAGCTTTTGGGGATATCATCTCCAAAATGGAAGCACAAATATGAGAAATGTTGTTTCAGTGTAAGGTTTCAAGGGAAACTTCAGCTAAAATACAAGTTATAGACTTTATATGGAGGCACATGTTAAGGGAAATCTACTCTTAATTAACTCGGTTGAGAGAGGTGAGTATAGTCTATAACTTACCCTACCAACCTCACGAAAAATATTTGATTTAATGTCAGAATGTAGTATTCTAATGGTTGGTTATTTCTACATGTCAACTATTCAAACTACTTGGCTGAAAAACTGCTCCAAATATTATTATCCAAGCAACCCATTTATCTGTACTTTGATGGTATTATTCTAATGATTAAACCTCTGAAGGGCCAAGTGTGTTTTTTTTAATTAATGGTGGGCTTGCTTGGACATGGCTGGGGTAAATCAGGTTCATTTCTTGAAGAAACCCTCTCAAAGATTTGGGTTCAAACTGAGCATAAGATAAAAAATCATTATCAAGCTCATATTCTGTGAAAATCCAGTGTCGGCTATTACGTAAGAATCAGGTAATATGCAAATTTCACCTTGTAAAAGTAATGCCTGCCCCACCCCTCACCCTCTCTGAGTTTCCCTATTGCTGCCTCAATGGGATAGGTGGTCTCATTGACAAGAAAGAAAGGATCAAGTATTGGGAGGAGGCAAAGCCAGTTTTGATTTTTTTTTACAATTCTATAACTGTGGATCTAGCTTCGATTCCCCATTTTCAGAAGTAAACTGTCCAAATTTTGGATATTAAAAGGGTGGCAGGTATGCCATTACCCCACTGACACTTAAAAGATTTTATAGATACGAAAATAAGCATTATCCTGTATATGGTTTCAATTGTAATTGAATATGGGGCATTTCTTCCTCACGTAACCTATAATTTCATAACTATTACATTCTGTTAAGGACAGATAATAATTCCACTTATACTTGTGTAGATTACAATGTGCGCTCAAACTGAAGAAAATCTTGTATTTTAGCGTTTGTGATTTATGACTGATAGAAGCGTGATGTAAAGGTACATGCTATGTACAACAAATCAGGGCAGTTCCAGCAACATATCAGCAGTAAAGCTGCCAGGTAGTCAGGTGACAAACATATGCTGATAAGAGATAAACAAAGTGCACTGTGACCAATAGCAGAATGGAATAATTCATGTGACCTTGGGTAAGTTTTCTTATCTTTTGTCATCAAACATAACAAGGAGACCATGACATTTTGTACTATGCACTCAATACACTTTTCAAAAGATGTTAATAATACATACATAGTCTGCCTCGATAGCTTTTTGGGCTCTGGTAAGGTTTACTAAAGTAGGGAAGCAACACCTTCCACGGTAAGCTGTGAACAAGCTGGATATATGACCATTATAATTCATTTCTCAAAGTTCCCCTATGATGACCAATCAGATAAGTCATTCTTTCTTTAACTTGTACTAAATGAGAAACATATGGTTGCTATTGGGCAACAATGACAATTCCTTCTGGCACTATGCTAAAATCCAAGTGTTTCTCTAAGGCTGGATTCACACCAAAAAGGTGTATGTTAACTTGAGGTTTTTTTTTTTTTTTTGTGTGTGCATGGTTTTGGAAGCTCCATTTAAGATAATTTTAATGCCAAAATGCAAGTCAATACATATAAAATAGAGCATGTAGGGAATTTCCCCAAAGCACTACAATTATATGTGTTGGTTTGCATCTTCTCAAAATGCATTAAATGACAAACTAATGGTTCGTTGTTTTTTCAGCATTGGGTGTAATCATTAAATTGTTTGAAATTTAACTTCCAAGCAATACAACCAAAGAAGCTCTTTTGCAAAGACTGAAGTAAAAACAAAGCAGTTTTATTCATAACAACCAGATTCCGTTCCTAATCTGAAACATGACATCTCACTGGTTGTTATTAGCTACTGCCAGTTTTTTTACTCTGTGCCTTCTGCTTCAACAGTTTCAGATATCCTTATCCTTCTATCCTTCCCCCCACAAAAGTATTGGGACACCCCTCCAAATCATTGGATTCAGGTGTTCCAATCACCTCCATGGCCACAGGTGTATCAAATCAAGCACCTAGGCATGCAGACTGCTTCTAAAAACATTTGTGAAAGAATGGGCCGCTCTCAGGAGCTCAGTGAATTCAAGGGTGGTAACGTGATAGGTTGCCACCTGTGCAATAAGTCCATACGTGAGATTTCCTTGCTACTAAATATTCCACGGTCAACTGTTAGTGGTATTGTAACAAAGTGGAAGCAACTGGGAACAACAGAATTCAGCCACATAGTGGTAGGTCACGTGAAATGACAAAATCAGGTCATGCTGAAGCGCACAGTGCGCAGAAGCCGCCAACTGTCTGTAGTAGAGTCAATAGCTAAAGACCTCCAAACTTCATGTGGCCTTCAGATTAGCACAACAACAGAGCATAGAGAGCTTCATGGAATAAGTTTCCATGGCCGAGCAACTGCATCCAAGCCTTACATCACCAAGTGCAATGCAAAGCGTTGGATGCAGTGGTGTAAAGCATGCCGCCACTGGACTCTAGAGCAGTGGAAACGTGTCCTCTAGAGTGATCTCTTAGTTCCAGTGAAGGGAACTCTTAAGGCATCAGCATACCAAGACATTTTGGACAATATCATGCTCCCAACTTTGTGGGAACAGATTGGGGATGGCCCCTTCCTGTTCCAACATGACTGCGTACCAGTGCACAAGGTCCATAAAGACATGGATGAACCCGATAGAATGCCTTCGAGATGAATTAGAGAGAAACTGCAAGTCAGGCCTTCTCATCCTACTGAGGCATTTGACAAAAGCAAATAGATGTCATGTTTTAACTTCCTTGTGGGTAATTTTATATGACTGTAAACCATATAAAGAATGTATATGGGAATGCAATTGAAAAGTAGGTCATCGTTATCATCTAAATGGCAATGTGGACTTTTATACAGGAAACAATACAACTTTTGGTATTGCTCAATAGAAAATTATGAAAAGATGACTTGTACTGTATGTCTGTGGTGCATTAAAGTGCACCTGACGTGGCCTAAAAGAAAACAACAGTGTGGCAGAACAGGAATCATCTGGTTCCTGTAAAAACTAGTTTAGTCTTCAAATTGATTATTTTGTGTGCATTGGGACCTGTTCTGTTTTCTTATTTGTTGCTCTAATCAGGAAACAGCAACTAAATTTTGTGGCCTCTGGCTTTTGCCCACCCTCCCATTTGCCTCATTATGAGTCAATCACTATGATGGTAGGCCTCACCTACAAAAAGTGAGGTTTAGTGGATATGTGGTTAGGTGTGAGAATCTGGGGTTACCTTTGTTTTCCATTCTAAATCAGGCACAATAGCCCAGATGTGCAGGCACCAGGAATAACCCATGGTGGTTAAAGTGTATAGATAATTATAACTTTTTTTTTAAGTTTTAGGCCTCATGCACACAGGGCATCTGTTTAAGCCTTTCTGAACATCAGAACTCCTGTTAGCCACTTAAAAAACATAGTTAAACAAGCTTATTGCACATGCGTTCAGGTGCATCTAGTGTTTGAGCGTTATTGCATTCTATTGGCTAAAATATTAATTCATTCTGGCCATTGGAATGCTTTTACACTCAGCATCTAGCATTATAAGCTTTTGGATGTATTTAGGCATGTTCCCCATTTTTTCTTCGGCTCTTCTCCTAAATGTGCATTTGTGTCTTTTTAGGCCTGTAAAAGCTCTTCTTCTAATACACCTGTAAATGCTTATGTCTGCAAGGACAGACAGGCTTACATAGAGGTGCTCTTACAGCCTGAAAAAATACCCTCAGTACCTGAAACAGCAGCTTTTGTAAGCTCTGTGAGCATAATGCCTAAAAGTAAGGAAGAATTACAACCTTTAAGATTTTTCTCTGTGTCCCCAATAGGTAGACCGGCCCACTCTTTTTGCCCTGGTGACTATTTTCAATGAGACAGAAAGTGATAGAAATCTAAAACTTTTGAGTTGTCAGAGAACAGTATGTGAGGGTAAATTTTCCAGTGGGAACATCTGTTCCAATGACAACTAAGAGGGGAACTTCCCTCACTTTAAAGAGATTTCCGTTTACTTCCTGTTGCATCTGCAGGACAGAAAGTAAAAGGAATTCACCCCAATGGTACATAGACAGCAAAAAAATATATAGATTTTTTAAAATTGATGTGGGTTTAAACCCATGAGGCAGCAGAAACTGCATGCCAATGTCCACATACACTAGGTATAGATACAATCAAACATCTATAATGCTGTAATGGTTCAGTGAAGGTCTGCGTAGCCCCTATATACAGGTCATCTGTAAGAAGATGAGGTCACATGGATTAGTATAAATGAGAACTGTTCCATATATGAAGAATGTTGGATCCCAGAATGTGAAGGTCCTGTAAACTCATTTACATCACATATCCAGCTTGTTTACCAAGAGTTACAGGTTGCACCTAACAATGTCCACCTTTTATTGACATCACAGTGCACTTCGTAAATAATTTAAGTTCTCACTGTAAACTATGATGATGATGAAATGACTTATGGTAATTAAATGGGAGTATCATTTTGTAAATCAATGTGCTTGCTACAAAATATTCAAGGCTGTACACACATTCTGGAGATTTATGTTCTTCTGTTAGATTTGAGATGATCCTTACAAATTTGCAGAAGGAAAGAGGGAAAGAATAGTTAAAGAATAACAATGTGTAGTAACATCAACATCCAGCACAGAGATACAGCAAAGAAGTATATTATCCATGTTGCTTAGCCATGTTCTGGAGAAAGAGTCAGTACATGGCTCAAGCTGCACAAAGCAGAGGTGTAGAACATTTTTAAGACTCTTGTTCATCAAGCAATTGACATTAGAAGTCAAACTTAACTACTGAACTGTGTATGTTTATGAATCTGAAAGGCACATGTGGTCTGGAAGATTTTAGTTTTTGAAAACGATTTTTTAAAAAAATCTTTACTTTAAGATATAGGAAATCTGCCATTGTTTATGTATCCTTCTAAAAATTAAAATCTCCTGGCTTTCGTGCTGATCCAATTGCAGTCATTGAACTGAAACTAATATGGAGATCAGAAATGTTGATCTCACACTAGCCGCATACTTGCTCCAGGTCAGTGATTTACAAGTTCTGAAGACAGCTAAGATACTAGCATTTTCAAAAAAGGTCTCCATAATTTTCTTTGTACAGGTTTACTTTTGAGTCCCATCTCCTGTACTAGTTGATCTGCACTTCCCTCATTTTATGTCTGCCAGAAGGAAGTTAAATTGCGGAGGAGTTTGATGTAACTTACTGAGCTTCTGAATGGCAGTTGATTGCGTCATAAATTAAAGAGACAAATGCAGACCAAATACTACTTCCTTATACTCCTCCTACACATCAGTATGTATTAAAACAGTAAAGGGTTCATTAACAAATTGCACATTAAAATAAATGACAGCTTAAATTTAATTTGTTTTCCCCCACTTCATAAATAATTCTTCTGATGAAAAAAATTGGTGAAACTGTAAAATAACCCACACGAAAAACAATTTTGATTTCAGTACTCTTTGAATACACAATTTAATGCATTCACAGGTTGCTTTGTTCCAATGGGAGAATCACCCAACTCAAGAAAAGGCAGCAAGATATCACTGGCTATGATCAGTTACCAGAGCTTGACATTTAAGTAGGGAGATCTCCTAAATGGGTTGTCCTTGTGACATTGAGTGCATGAAGTTGCTGAAATTCATCCAGTACTGAAAATTAAGTTTTTGGTACGTATAGCCTTTGATCGGGAGTTTAAAAAACAGAAAGGATCAAAAGGAAGTTGACCAGATTCTCGGAATAACTTAAATATAAGATAAAACAAAATACATTTATTACAGTTACCAACCTTTCACAAAGTAATCTCTGTTTGGACCAATCAATGCATTGTATGGGTATCCATAATAGGCTAATGTGTAGGGATCACATGAGTAAACATAATTTGGCTGAGTGACTTCCGTGGCAGTAGCCGTGGTCGTTGTTCCTTTAGCAGCTTTCTGGTATCGTGTGTACTGTTCTTTATCTACTGGTTTAGCCAATGTGACTTCTATGCCAGAGCCTTCCAGTTCAGTTCCATTAAGGTTCCTCATGGCCTGCACTGCATCATCTCGACTGGTAAAATGCACAAAGGCATAATCCCGTATTTTCTTAACCCGCTCCACACATCCAGGATTGTACTGGCCAAACACCTTTTTAATTGTATCCTCGGATGTTTCAATCATAAGGTTCCGCACGTAAAGGATTTTGACGGTTTCCATCACATCTTCATCAACATCAATTTCTGGTTCCGCCCAGTCAACAGCAATCTGGTGGCCCCATAGCTGTATTCTTCCTGGCATCAATTTCCTTCTGGCCATGGCAGCTGCTCGGTGGCTTTCATATTCTACAAAGGCAAAGCCTCTATTTTTCATCTTATCAGCAGCACTAGCATAGACAATAACATCTAAAACTCCTTCAGTTACTTTAGAGATTTCTTCTAGAATCTCTTCTCTTTTCTTCATCTTTGGAATCCCCCCAATAAAAAGTCGACAGTTATCTACACTGCAACAAACACCTAAGAGCCTTCCAGGCCTGATTTCATAATTATTAAGTTCTCGAACTGCCCTCTTGGCTTCATGTTTCTGTGTGTACATGACAAAAGCATATCCCCGATTCTTTCCATCAAAGTCCATCATCAGGCGCATTTCATAGATACGACCTACACTTTCAAAAACGGGAACAAGCTCATCCTCATAGACATCACGGGGTATTTTGCCTACAAATACTTCACAACCACGTGGGGGATGAAGACCTTCCCATCCTGGTGGTGGACCTCCATATTTTCTTTGTCCATTTTCCTGGACCATTGCGTAGCCTGTACGTTCCATAAGTGCTACAAGAGCAGCTTCATTTGGTGCACCGACAACTCCCTCTGTGATCTTTGAGGCTGACATGTTAGAAGAATCGTTACTCATCATAGCAATAGAATCCTCTGCTGTCATTATGCCAAAGTCATGCAATACTTGCTGAAACCTATTTAAAATAAAAACAGAGCATTAATAAAATAATCAAGGGCACTTGTACAAATAAAAACATAGCTTTTGGTAGAAATCATTTCTTTCTGCTTTAACAGATTTCTGGAGTAAATTAGTCATGTAAAAACTTGGCTAAAACAAAACTACAAGAAAACATATATATGAAGAAAGAGCAATACAGTGCAGAAACCAAGAGACACTCCTTATCATGTAGCAGCTTGCACAATAGCAAATGTAAAATGTTTACCCAATAGATTTTAACTGAAATCAGATAACTTTAGAATAAACTGCATCCATTACAATTAAAGAATCTTTTTCCAGAATGGAAGTAGAGGGGACATCTTCCAATAAGGACACATGTTTTGGTCACAGCTGTCTAAGACAGGATTTCCTTTATTTTTGTGTCTAAAGTAAGCCATAGATAATTCGAGTTTCTTTCTTTCCACCACGGGTGGAAGGAAAGAAAATTGCTCAATCCCCCATTACACAGTCGGTGAAGATGGGGGAATGCCTCCCGTTGCGCTATCGTGTTCTGCTGGGAGGCGCAGGGAGCCTTTCCAGTTGGGAAAACACAGTGCTTACTGCTAGCAGCTATAGCCAGAGGTAACAATTGAATTTTAAAAATCAGACAGGCTGGTGGTACCCAAGTCGATCTATGGATCGCCATGGGTACAACCAGCCTACCCATAGATGGATCGAATCTCAGCTGGTCCCTGCCGAACCAGACAAGATTCGATCCATCTATGGTCTGCTTAAGTATACAGGAAGTATAGGTTTTTCTCCCAATAAGACCGATACAAAACCTAAAAGTGGTATTAACCAGTCTACCCTACCTAAAAAAGTTTTGGCTTTAGATATACCATAATTCTAATTTAAAGGTGATCATTTCCATGGTAATTCACCAAAGGCTTGTATCTCCCTACCTTCTTTCATCTCTCTCAATACTAATATAAATAAATCCTACTGGTCTTATACAAAAAATAATCCCGAGTATTTAGTTATGTTAGTATATAGTGAAAGTTTTTTGTTTTGACAAACTTTCAATTGGCTTTACTGTCTGATTGCACGATCACATCTAATGAGCAGTGCTGTACTAATGATGTTACAGGACATTTCACACATTTCCTCTGTGTCTGCGGCATACATAATCAGTGTGTGCAAACCACATCTGAAATACAACCACTAGTGTTCAATTAAATATTTATGATGCCTGCATTGTAAAATCTCAACCCAATCCTTTCATAAAAGTGAAATTTAAATATACACTTCAGGAGGACAATAATTACATGCTGATGCATTGCGGTAGCACACTGTAAACCGCATTTTTTATCTTGTGTTAGTACAAATGCATTTTGAGTAGCACCCCAATGTGCTGCAGCACACATACATAGTAACACGCTACAGCATACATATGTGAGCGATCTGTGACTTGCAGTGCATTCAAAAAATGTGGTATGTGCATTAATGGCTGTATTAACACAAAGCAGGTAAAATATGCAATACCACATGTTCAACATAAGTGCACTAAGGCAACACAGTCCACAAATGTAGTTTGAACCAGTCCTAAGTTGAGAACTGTGGTGTTAAAAAAAAAACATTCTATGTGCAAAGGTGTAAATGGGCAGTAAATGTACCTCCACTATTTTGTATCTTCTTCTGTACCTGATATGAGAATAACAATAGAAAGCTCTGGTGTTCTGATTTGGAGTTCTATGGAAGTTATGCAACCTGCTAGTAGTCAGTTTCTTGGTATTACTAAATTCCATTACAATATATTTTTATACAATAATGCATGCTTTACTGCAGACTAAAGACTAGATCTGAACCTTTGAATTGCATGGTTCAGAAGTCATCACAGACTAAGAGGACACCACCATCTTCCTGTGATTTGTACTCATGGAGTACTTTAGCAGACACATTATCTTGATTAGGGGTGCTCAACCCTTTGAAATGCGAGGGTCACTTAGGTGATTTGGTAACCTGTTGTGGGCTACAATAAAATTAAATGGTCCAGAATTTAGATTTTTTTTATTTTAAATAGCATAATGAACATTTTCCTCCTGCAGCCGCTGAATGCCAGCAGAAAGGAAAGAAGATGAGTTGCTGCGGTTACAGAGGGAAAATTGAGAGAATCAATTCTTGTATATGCCCCCCCCGCCGCCCCTCCTGTCCACGCCTCACGCTACACTGGTGGTTTTGGGGGGGGGGGGGGGGGAAACACATCTCAACTATGGGGGTTTTACCACCCCCAAACCACAAATGTAAACAAGCCCTTACTGTCCTGAGCACCCTATAAGGCTGCTTTTACACTGATGGGGTATGAATTGCATATGGGGATAAGGTGTTAGTTTAATCTCAGGAGGTATTATCCCTGCTATATTTAGAAAAAGTAAAGATACAAAGGTGTGACTTTGCGTATACCTCCAAAAGTATGTTATAAACAAAAATACAAATTATATATACAAATATTTTAAATATAATTTGTATTTTTGTTTGTAACATACCTTTGGAGGTATACACAAAGTCCCACCTTTGTATCTTTACTTTTTCACACGGACGTGCTGCAGTTTACCCATACTTTACCCATACTTCACAGTTAGCTGCACTTTGCCATAGACTTCTCTTATATCTTGCAGGTGTGGGGTACTTTCTGAAAGTGCACCAAAACCGCAAGATATAATAGAAGTGCACTTCCCTGGTTTGAGGTCGAAGGCCACATCAGAGGGCTCCAAGGGCCACATGAGACCACTGATCACTCAGTTCTCCCCTCCATTCTAAGCAGATAACCTGTGAATGTGAGTCTCCGGCTCTATGCTGTGCCTCCATGGAGGGACAGGAGTGGCTGGCTTAGGCTCTCAGTGGCTCCTTGAGAGGCTGAGCCAGCTGCCAGTCTAGGCTTCTGGGCAGATCCCGACTATATGGTCAGGATCTTTCCTGAGCCTGGACCAGCTCTGTGATTTTGGCTGAAAACAGGTCACATGAGTGCACTCCTGTGATCCATAGGATAAGTATAGCCAAAAAAGCTTTGGCCATACTTCTCCTTTAAGGGCCAAACTATTGCACTGCAATACAACGATGCATTAGAGCAGGGCTTGAAATTTCCACTCGCCTGCTTGCATTTGGCAAGTGAAAATAACATGGGGGCGAGTGTGTTCCAGGTGCCGCATCAGAGGGTGGGGGGCGGGTGCTACCAGCAGCACCAACCTGCCCCGAGCACTGTGTTGAGGGGGGGGGCACACTGCTGGTGCCGCTCCTCATTGACCGGAGTCATCGCAGTTTCACTCCTGTCACAGGGAACAGCTGCTGACACTTGCTGGAGGGAGGACTAGGCTTTCTTCTCCCTCCTGCCTGCAGGGGGCAATAGACAGCCGGCACTAAGGAGTGAAGGCAGAGTGTCCTCCCTCTCTCCCCTTGTCATGTGACTTATCACATGACCGAAGGAGGGAAAGAAAGAGAAGCTGCATTCACAAGAAGATCTGTGAGTACAAGGGGGAAGGGCGAGGTTACACTTATGGGGACACCTGATGTAAAGGGGGACTCTGATGGGGACACCTGATGTAAAGGGGGACACCTGATGTAAAGGAGGACTCTGATGGGGACACTTATTTTCATTTTATGTTTACATTGTTTTATGTTAACCACTTGCCCTCTAGACTCTATTAAGCTATTGCTGTTATGTTTAAATTGACATAATAAAGCTATGTTATAATTGCTGTTTTTTTATATTTTGAACTCTTTATTCTAAAGAAAAATGTTATTTCATAAGCTTTAAGGGGGCGTGGTTGGGGGCAGGGCTGGGGGACGGGCCTGGGGTGGGGTTGGAGGCAGACCTGGGCAAGGTTTGGTGGGGCAACTGGTGGAGAGTAAAGTTTTTGCCTAGCTAGTAGGTCTATACTTGAAATTTTAATCCCTGCATTAGGGCATACTAAAAGCACATGAAAACCAGTTGCCACTATAATCTGTGAAGCTAGGTGTCCAGTTCTGAAGGCCTCATTCATAGAAAGATATTGATAAGATAACAAGTCCAGAGATGGACAATATAAATGGTGAAAGGGCAGAAGGATAAAACATATCTGGTGAGACTTCAGTAACTTAAAGTGTTACTAAACCCACAACAGTAAAATCAGTCTGTAGATCCAGTAAAGCATGCTTGCTATACTCACTGTGAAACCTAAGGGGTTAATACTCTGCATTGTGTAAAAAGGCTGTTTGATCCTGACTTCTCTGCCCCTCTTCTTGTTCAAATGTCCACGCTGATAAGACAGACTGAAACCGTAGCCCTTCTGCACATGCTCTGTTTAGTGTGTATTGCTAGAGGGTTTTTTTTTCCTTGGGAGAGTGCATGTGATCAGCACAGAGCCAATCAGCACTGTCCAGACAAAGGTCAGTGGTTTTGCATCCTCCTAGAGCAGAAAGAAAACTCCTCCTACAAGCTTTAACCAGTGCTCTGCTGAAGTCACAAGACTGCTCTAACTGCTAATGAGAAAAGGTATTTAGCAGTTTATATTTACTAAAATAATTGCATTTCCATGTTCTGTGTTCTGTGGGAGACTAGATATAGTGAATGCCGGGTCCTGGGTTTAGTAACACTTTAATCTGTACAGTTTGGAGGAAAGAAGGGAAAGGGGAGATATGTATGAAAGGGGGTGAAGAAGGCTCAGGAGAGAAATATTTTCAATATGAAGTCAAGATCAAGAACATGGAGACATGACTTCAAACTAGAAGGAGGAAAGTTCATAACTAATCTTAGAAATGATTATTTTATAATAAACTTGAAATATAATATAAATTAATTAAGAGAATAAAATAAACGATCAAGCGAGCGTTTTTTATAAATAGAAATAAAAGCAGCTTGCATAAGGAAAAAACCTCTAAATCCTTTAAACCATGTATATATCAAAATGCAGCTCTAGGACAACTATATAAATATAAATATGCTTAAATTATTAAATAAAATAGCATATAGA